GACTACTGGTGGCAGACTGCATAGTGAAAATAGTTAGGAAGAGGAAGGCGAGATAAGATAACTTCTGCAGTCAATCTATAGAGAACTTAAAAAGCGTAAGGCCTAGCAGGGAGCGTAAATGAAATATGTGAACTGGTGAGTGGAATACTGAAAGCAGCAGGTAGGACAGTGGGAGTGAGCAAAGGATGAGAGATGCAACAGAAGAACAAACGGTGGTGAAGTGATGAAGCGCAAAAGGCAACAAGAGAGAAAAAGACAAAGTTGAAAAAGGGGCAAACACGAGAAAGAAGAACCATCTGGATGAATACCTGGCAGCAAAAAGAGGCAAAGCGAGTGGTAGCAATAGCAACAGCATTTGCACATCTCTGCCAGAAGTTTGGAGGTAAAGAAGGCGAGATGGTATACCGTTTGGCAAAGGCCAGAGAGAGAAAGACCAGGGACATCGACCACGTGAATCTCGTTAACAACAGTGAAGGATGAACAATCTCGGATGAGATAAAGGTTAGAGAGAGATGGAAGGAGTACTTTGAGAAGTTGCTGAATGTGGAAAACCCAAGACGTGAAATGGTTGAGGCACATCAAAGAATTTAAGTAGTTGCAGATACATTTCGATTTAAAGCTTTCGTGACTGCAGGGATTCATATTCTTGGTTCTTTAAAGTCACGTAGAAGGAAAATAATAAAATAATGTGATAATTTTATTATTTCCCTTCTACGTGACTTTACTGAAAGAACCAATAATATATTTCGATTTAAAGCTTTCGTGACTGCAAGGATTCAACTTCTTTGGTTCTTTCGGTAAAGTCACGTAGAATGAGAATAAAATAATAAAATAAAATAAGACAATTAAATTCTCACGACGTTTCGGCCACAACACAAGTAGCCTTCTTCAGGTGAAGGAACAAAACTGTCGGGACGACAGAGCTTCAATTTGAAGCTCTGTCGTCCCGACAGTTTTCTCATTCTACGTGACTTTACCGAAAGAACCAAAGAAGAAAAAAACAAGAATATAGTTGCAGATACTATAACCAGAGAAGAGGTGGTGGAGGCTCTGGGGAGCATGAACCATCACAAGGCAGTGGTTCCAGATGAGATTCCAATTGATGTTTAAACTAATAAGAAAATGCCAGATGCATACAGAGAGAGTACATTGGTTCCCATCCTTAAAGGGAAAGGTGACGTACAAGAGTGTGGGAGTTACAGAGGAATAGCATTGAGCCACACCAAGAAACTCTGGGAAAGGATCATAGAAAGGAGATGGAGGAAGCTGGTGGATATTGGCGAGTCAGTTTGTATTCAGACAGGGAAGGTCAACAATGGATGCAATCTCTATGGCAGTGACAAAGATGAGGATGTTGCGGTGGATGTTGAGTTTTCCAAGGAAGAACAGGGTGAAAAATGTAGTGAGAGGAAGACTCAAGGTGGTAGAAAGCACAGAGAAAATGAGAGAGAAAAGGCTGGTGCGGTTCGGACATGGTGAGAGACAGGAAAATTACGTGGGTCAGAAGGTGCAAATGATGCAAGTGGATGGAAACAGATCGAGGGGAAAGCAGAGGAAGAGGTGGGGTGATGTGGTGCGATCGGACATGGTGGCCCGAGGAGCGGAAAGAGAAGATGGTGCAGGACAGGGCAGGATGGAGGTTGGCAAGGACACCGGACCCCACATGAGTCGGACAAACGTGTGGAAAAAAGATATGAATCTCCATGCAAGTCTATATCTTACACCACAGGCTACACAGTAACCGCACTGCCTTCTTTGATCGTTTAAGTCTCAGGGTGAGTCTGTATCTCAAACCATGGACCCCACATAGCCATGCCACTGCCCGCTTCAATCATTCGCTGGCAGCGTTTGAGATGTTCACCAGGCGAATCCTGAAGCTGTCCACTGGCTGACTCATTAAACCTAAACTTCTATAAACTGTTTTTTTTATTTTACCAGGGAAGGCCCACTGAGCTATATAGCTCTCTTTCAGAAGCGACCTAACCACAAATGATAGCTCAACGAAGTGGCTTATCATTTTGAAATTTAAAGCAGTCAAATACTCTAAACGCATGTTTCTAAATGTGGAGGGAAAAAACTGGAGGACCCGGAGAAAAATTAACACGGGGAGAACATGCAAACTCCAAATATACAGGCATCAGGGTCGGGATTGAACCCACGACCTGCTTTCTACCAGGTGAGGTGGTTAACATCTCTGCATCATGGCGAGATGCTAACCGCCTCTTGCCATACAAACCAAGAAGACCGTTGGAACGCCTGTGGTGGGTTTAAAAAAAGGAACTTAGGACTCGCTAAGCGGTGATTGAGTGTGTTGACAAATAGGCCACTGAGTATACCACAGGTTGGTTTAATACGGGTTTTCTCTCGTGTTGAAATTTTAAAGTAGTCTACTAAGTTCTATAACAGGCATGTCCCAGTTGTCTCCCCCCGGTCATTCGATTGTCATGATTCAGGGCCGCTATTCAATTAATGAATCACGTTTCTTTTAGTCTGGTGTTTTGCCATCTCCTTTATTTACAATGTTTTTTTTTTAAATCCTTCTCATTTCCAGTTGTTTGCTCCGTTAGCTTAAATGTCACATTAGCATACAATGTGCATATAATTTGAATACATAATTCTTACGCGATTCTATGCACGTATCATAAGCATAAGAATATATTTTAATGTTTAATTGATGCATTGGTACATGCCTGTTATATAATATAACAAATTTGACATGTTCCAATAACGGTGCATAATTTATTCTCATAACCGCGTGGGACAGTGGGTTGGTGAAGACCAATTCTTGCCGCCATTATCTCCCCAGTGCTAATGTTGACACGCATGACACCAAGTACTTAATTTAGGCTGAGTCAACTTAAAGGAGGCCCAAGCCGCATATCAATTACCCACTTGTGATGATGAAGGGTATCATGGCCCCATGGGTGGAGTTTGCGGGGGGGGGGCATGGGGAGCCGATGCCCCCAATCTGGACACCTTTATTATTTATTTTCAGTAGTTTACAATTAAGATTATAATATATTTATAATAAACCCGCGATTTCTAATGTGAGGGACAAAGCGAACCCCTAGCCCCCCCCCCCCCCCCCCCCCCCCCAAATATAGAGGTTAAAATTCCACCTATGCTTGGCTCCCTAATACTTGGAAGCTGCATTGGCATGCAAAGACAAAACTTGCTCTGTGCAGCCTTTAATAGACCACTGGGGCTATTAGCGAGCATCTATTAAGGCCGCTAAAGCATTCAAGGGCTACGTGGGGCCAGGACCAGGCAGGCCACCTTTGTCTCCTCTGTGCTAATTTTTAGACACTGCGCCAGGTACTCGTTTAAGGTTGAGTCGAGCTAGAGGGAGACTCATCCCCTGTTCAAGTATTCGCAACTGTTGTTAGCTATAGCCGGGAATCAAACCCATATCACACATATATACAGTGAGGGAAAAAGTATTTGATCCCCTGCTGATATTGTACGTTTGCCCATTGACAAAGAAATGATCAGTCTATAATTTTAATGGTAGGTTTATTTGAACAGTGAGAGACAGAATAACAACAACAAAATCCAGAAAAACGCATGTCAAAAATGTTATAAATTGATTTGCATTTTAATGAGGGAAATAAGTATTTGACCCCTCTGCAAAACATGACTTAGTACTTGGTGGCAACACCCTTGTTGGCAATCACAGAGGTCAGACGTTTCTTGTAGTTGGCCACCAGGTTTGCACACATCTCAGGAGGGATTTTGTCCCACTCCTCTTTGCAGATCTTCTTCAAGTCATTAAGGTTTCGAGGCTGACGTTTAGCAACTCGAACCTTCAGCTCCCTCCACAGATTTCCTATGGGATTAAGGTACTGGGGACTGGCTAGGCCACTGCAGGACCTTAATGTGGTTCTTCTTGAGCCACTCCTTTGTTGCCTTGGCCGTGTGTTTTGGGTCAGTCATGCTGGAATACCCATCCACGACCCATTTTCAATTGCCCTGGCTGAGGGAAGGAGGTTCTCACCCAAGATTTGACGGTACATTGCCCCGTCCATAGTCCCTTTGATGCGGTGAAGTTGTCCTGTTCCCTTAGCATAAAAACACCCCCAAAGCATGTTTCCATCTCCATGTTTGACGGTGGGGATGGTGTTCTTGGGGTAATAGGCAGCATTCCTCCTCCTCCAAACACGGCGAGTTGGGTTGATGCCAAAGAGCTCCATTTTGGTCTCATCTGACCACAACACTTTCACCCAGTTGTCCTCTGAATCATTCAGATGTTCATTGGCAAACTTCAGACGGGCATGTATGTGCTTTCTTGAGCAGGGGGACCTTGCGGGCCCTGCAGGATTTCAGTTCTTCACAGCGTAGTGTGTTACCAATTGTTTTCTTGGTGACTATGGTCCCAGCTGCCTTGAGATCATTGACAAGATCCTCCCGTGCAGTTCTGGGCTGATTCTTCACCATTCTCATGATCATTGCAAATCCACGAGGTGAGATCTTGCATGGAGCCCCAGGTCGAGGAAGATTGACAGTTATTTTGTGTTTCTTCCATTTGCGAATAATCTTGTAGCCCATTCCAGCCTTGTGTAGGTCTACAATCTTGTCCCTGACATCCTTGGAGAGCTCTTTGTTCTTGGCCATGGTGGAGAGTTTGGAAGCTGATTGATTGCTTCTGTGGACAGGTGTCTTTTATACAGGTAACAAGCTGAGATTAGGAGCACTCCCTTTAACAGTGTGCTCCTAATCTCAGCTCGTTATCTGTATAAAAGACACCTGGGAGCCAGAAATCTTTCTGATTGAGAGGGGGTCAAATACTTATTTCCCTCATTAAAATGCAAATCAATTTATAACATTTTTGACATGCGTTTTTCTGGATTTTTTTGTTGTTATTCTGTCTCTCACTGTTCAAATAAACCTACCATTAAAATTATAGACTGATCATTTCTTTGTCAGTGGGCAAACGTACAAAATCAGTAGGGGATCAAATACTTTTTTCCCTCGCTGTATATACAAATACACATCTCATTCAGTGCAAATCCATGTATATTTAATGAGTCATATGACCATTGACTGTATTATTAAACACATCAGATATTATAGAGCCAAGATGGTGATATTATCGTTGGCCATAACTGAGAGTCGAACTCAGGTCACCAGGATCATAGTGCAGGGTGATAACCGCTTCACTACTGCTCCCCAAACTTGCATACACACACACACATGCACGCATCCATACATGCATGTCATGCACACACACCCATTAGCAGGCTATGGCCCATCGCTGTGGGGGAAGGCTGTGATGGATTATCCTCTCGCAGATGTCTGCTGATCCTGAGCCAATGCCACGTTAACCCTCACTAAGCCCCCAGCCACTGTGATTCCATCCGATCTTTTAGTTCCGCGCATTGGATTATTTTCAGAGAGATGCTGTTATCATTATTATTATTAACCAAAGCTTATCATCAGCTGTCAAGTTTACGTTAAAGACTGTTCAGACCACTGTGTGTCAATGCCAGAAATCCCAAATCTGAAACTTATTTCTGTGCTAAAAGAAAGGTGTAAAATATTAATAACATCTCCATGTCTCTATTCCATCAAAAATATAATAATGTACCATGGATGTTCACTCGATTGAAGAACACTGAATGGAGTATGAGAACTTAGCCCTCGGGGCTGAAACACGATGTACATGAGTCGAACATTTTTCATGGATTCCTCAGTATCCAGAACATCAAACTCGAGTGGCTGGTCTCAGAACCCAGGTGACTAGAGACCCTACCTCAGTGTTGCAACGCAGACATCAGCCGTCTGTCGAAGACACCCAGTCCCCAGGGCTTGAACCTAAGTCCTCAATTGTGCTGGCCCACTGACATGGGTATGATCACCTAAATGACAATCGGTCCCAGGGCTTGAACCCAGGTCTCTAAGAGACACAGGCTCATGTTTTAATGTAGGCATCAAGGGCCTGACACACTCAGCCACCTCCGTGACCAAAGCATTGTCACGACGGGCAGTCGTATGCATTAGCGTAGCTGTCAAGTGTGCACAGCAGCCCATATATGGTGGAGCGGCCCGAGGCGCCGAGCTCCAATGAGTGAGGAAATGGGACGGGGGGGTGGGAGGCAATTTAATTTGTCGCACCAGGACCCGCGTCACTCATGCTACGCCACTGCTCAGATGAGCGGAGGGACGTCGGGGTCGTCGACGAAGGCTGGATCCTCGGCGGGCAACGCGACAGCAAAAGGGGGCGGCTGGGAGGGCGGCGCCCGTCCCGTGGCGCCGCGACCCGCGTCCCGGACGATGGTGGCGACATCGATGCCGCGGCGAGCACTGGGGTCGACCTCGAGGTGTTGTTGCGCCGAGCCCTGGCTCGAGTCGCCGCTGCATGCAAGAGCAGACGCCGAATTAAGCCAGAGTTTGACGCACGGCCGTCGACAAATCAACAGTCGGTTTAGAGCTCGATTTTCCATTCTAAAATCGTAGAATTGATCATCAAATCCAGCGCTAATTTTAGTGATGTAGGTAGCGATTGCCAAGTACCGTTTAGACCGCATGGACTGAGGTCTCCCCACGCCATGTCGGTCATGTGAGTTATTTGACCGTACTTTACCATACTGATTAGTCCAAGGGGACTCAATTCATAAATCCGTCATCAATGAAATCATCCGTAGCCGGGAATTAAACTCATAGCGCATTTCGGAGTGCAGTGCTCTCACCACTGTGCCACTTCTCGTCCGTAGAAATATATACACAGCTAAATGCATGCATATGCACATGCTCTATACCATTGGATGTCAATTAAATTATTTCATTTCACGAAATTGCCACTGTGGTTGCTGTACCGATTGCTGGTGGTGGGTGATGTGCACTCCTCCTTGGGATGATTCTTCACACAAGGCTTTGGTTTTACCACCTCGGGTTTTATCACCTCCTTCACCTGTGTAACAGAATAAAAGTGTCAGTCTGGTGGTGGCTGGGTGGCTCCGAGATTTTAATCCAGGCAGTCACTTGTGATTAAACCAGGCTCTCGAGTGTTCAGCGTGTTCGTGGTCTCAGCCCGGTCGCCAATGACTGCACAGAAGAAAATAAAACCCATCAAATAAAATTTCATTTTTTTTACTTAAACTGGCAAAAAATTTCATCTCTTACAATTATATATTTAATTGATCATCAAGCAATGAAGATTACACTCATATCTGAGAGCAGGTGAGAAAGTGCTGCCCACTACTTGGTGGACCCCGGGTAGCTCTATAATATTCGCTTCCACTGGCCGTTCTTGAACACAAAGGGATGTACTACTCTGTGTGAGATGGGGCAGAAAGGTCCTCTCGTGATTTGACACGAATGGCACACATAAAATGATTTAAAAAAAGTGTAAGTCGCTCTTCACTGCGATGGCACACATAGCAGTCACAGCTGAAATCCTAGCTCAGTCCACCCCGTGTCTCATAATGATTTCAGACGCAATACTTTGGCCATAACAGTGCTGTTAAACAACATCGTAATGTCGATTGCATGAGGGAGCCATTGCGTTCTGATGTATCTGTGCACTTTATCCACATTTTTATAATTACTTCAAGTGATCGTAATTTTAAAATAAAACCACTTTTGCCCATGGGAATGGATGTCCATGTAAACGTGGTAATGAAATAATCTACGTATAAATTGCTGAAATGTAATTGCAAAAAGAGGGGGAAAGTGGGTGTTATCTAGTAAAGGCCTTTCTTTTCTACATCACTGGTAAATCGTGGCTTCTTAAGCAATTGCTCGAATCCTGCAGGGTGACCTATAGGTCCGTATGATTCTATTAACATTTTCCAGTTCCGAGACATCTGCCAGTTGCAGGGTGGGTCTCGTTCACCGCTGAATCTCGAAACGCGCAAGTGGTTTGCATTAATTTTACGCAGAGAGGCATAGCGCTTGTTGTTTTTAAAAGACATTGTACTCACCGCAGAGAACTGTAGCGACACGACCGCACTCTATGATAGTTGGCAGCAAACTGTGCCATACGCCCTCCTGTATGGCCGCATGGGAGCCTCAGTACCGATAACGTTATTTTAGTTTTTTTTTCTGATTCCAGTCCGATGATGTACACAGTGTGAGGCACTTATTTGATTAAATAACCTATTTCTTTCCACTCTTTGTTTTTTTTCGGTAAAGTCACGTAGGTAAAAAAAAATGTTACCATACATAGCAGGCGTTACCAAAAAGATTTCCAAAATTCTAAACAAACACAAGATCCAGGTCCGGTTCAATACAGTACACAAAATCCGTGATTTGATCCCATCCGTAAAGGATGTCATTCCTGACTTACAGTACCCCGGTGTTTACAAATTGAGTTGTACCTGTGGTGACTGCTATATCGAAACGACATATTTCTGACCGAATTCGCGAACACAAATCAGGTTTGAAACACGGCAGAACGAATTCTTCGGCCGTGGCTGATCATTGTTTCAACACAGCGGGTTCTCATGACATAATCTTTTCCGAGACCAAGGTGCTCTGCAAGCCGTCTGGATACCACCAAAGGTTTGTCCATGAGGCCATCCAGATATACAAACATAGACATAACTTCAACCGAGAAGATGGATTCAAATTGAGCAATCATTGGAAAGATGTTATTAACCAAGTTAAACCCTAGCTGCCTTAACAGTTAATATTCATATCCACATCACCAGTCTTTTACTCCCAGCCTTGCACAACACTAGGAAATTTGAGATGCAGCTTTCCAATCGTGTCGTAGCTTTTGTCACCAGGAAATTGGAGATGCAGCTTTCCAATCGTGTCATAGTTTTTTTTTCCGATTCCACTCTCTCCCACTTTCCTCCCCCTACCTGTGGGACTTGAGCTCTATCCACATCTTTAGGAATTACAACCCCAGCCCACGCTCAGCCCCCATACCCACCTGCCCTCGTTTCCCCCCCCCCCCCCCCACCCTCCTCAGCTATATAAACCCGTGTCAGAGCGATCTCTTTGACATATCTCAGCAACTGTCTTCGCTGTGTTTGTCCCCACCTGATGACGGACACTTGTGTTGCGCCCGAAATGTCGTGATTTAATTTAGTTGTTTTCATTTATTTTATTGATTTTTTTTTTTACCTACGTGACTTTACCGAAAAAAATCAAAGAGTATGAATCCTTGCAGTCACGAAAGCTTCAAATCTATAAATATTTATTTTTGTTTAGTTTTTACCATCTTGTTTGGATTTTTGTTTCTGATTTGTTCTGTCTCATTTGTACACTCTAATCCACTCCATTTTTTCAGGTGTAGCAAAAAGTGTATAATTTGCAAAATTTGTAAATAATTTATTCTTACATGTGCGATGCAATGACTGTTTTCATGAGCTTAAGAATCTAATTATGGCATGGCAAGTATGTAGGTCCTGTAGTATGGACTTAATATGTAGTATTATTACTATACTAATAATAATTTATAGCCCTTTTGACAATCCACTGCTGAGTGAAGGCCTACCCATGCCGTGTTGGTCACGGGGGACGTGTGACCATACTTAACAACGCTGTGCCGCGCGGGTTGGTGAAGGGGGTGCGCAGAATTATTTCAGATATCACTCGCTAATGATAATAGCCGTGGCCGGAAATCAAACTCCGGTTGCCGTGTTCCTAGCACACTGTGTGCTAACCAGACTCAGACTCAATATTTTATTTCAGCTGGTAAGGCCAATTGAGGTAGGCAACTCTTTTACAGGGACCACCAGACCAAGACCATCAACAGCGGCAGGAGCGACAAGGCATTACAGGGTGGGAGGGAATGTGCAAGCTAACAAGAGTAAAAACAACAATTTACTCGGAACATGCCAAAACCACTGCGCGACCTTGGTATAGTGAGCCCAAATGTCCTGAATTTAAAAGTAATACCTTGGGCATTGTAAGCAGCATGTGCCCCGTGGTCTGTGACCTCTGCGCAAGGCTCCTATCTGGTTGGACTTCTTCCGGCAAAACCAACTGGAACACCTGCAGGGATGGTGGGGTGGGGTTTGGGTGGGATGAGGTGCAGTTGTGAGAATGGGCAGATCCATTGATCAAGAATCAAATGCCAAGCGGGAGGTCATATGACCATCAGCAATATTCGATTGCTGCTGTGCCTAAGCGTAAATAATGTCAAACCATACTGACCTTTCCCTTCACCGTTACGCGTGCATAATTGGGCTGCACATCCACATCAATTAAAGAGGTGTCCAGATATCTGTGAGGCCAAGGTGAAAACACTGAGTGAGCTCATAGAGAATCAGTATTCACAGATCAAGGGAGACCTGTAACTGGTTTGAGATGTCGGCTCCTAAACCAAGGTTAAAGCAAGTTCTCATGTGTCGTTTGATGGTCTCAATCTGGTCACAGATTTACACGCACAGCCATTTTGTCAAGTTGATCATTGCCTTGAGGGCCATGGGGTGTTATTTTACCCTACTTCACCACACTTGGCAGCGCAGAATTACGAATGTAGAGAACATGCATAGACATGGGTGAATAGAAGTACAGTATAACAATGTATTCTGACGCACTGCCCTACGCGGGCCCACAGTGTAGCCTCGCAGCAGCCTATAATACTTGTTAAGCACTTTCCAGGGCTTCAACCCCTGCTTAAGTTTCTGAAATCTAACAAAATCTTGAGATCTAACAAAATCGAATGCATTTCGGGTGATTTGGCCATAGGTCAATGACGACTGCAACTCATTTTAACCAAGCATGCGACGCAACACTTCTGCATCGTTTAATGACGACGATGATGACGACGACAACGACGTTGTCCTGAACAAGTTGTCTCACTTGTAAATGGCGAGGTCTAACACCAGCGTGTTGTCGGCGTCATTCTCCGCGAGCGAGAAATCCAACCTGCAGACACGAACGCTCTCGTTACTGCCCTGCGGAGTGAACCACTGTAGCTGGTGTGCGCACTGTGCTGTTTCAAGTTGGAGTTTCCCAGGTGAGGACTCAAGAGTCATTTGCATTGATTGCTGTGTAAAATCGCAATTGAACAATTTGTCCCATGATGGCGGGTGCTATGTCGAGTTTACAGCCATGTGCTGTGCTGAATGTGCTGGAACTGCTTTTGTTTTACTATGCCGTGCTGTGCTTACGACCGTCTCTCCACAAATGCGCACGCTCTCGTCAGATGTCGGAAGAGAAGCACGGCTGAGTTTTGATTGTGCTTGGATGGGTAACCAGACAAGCATAACAGGCTGCTGCGGGGCTACATTCTGGACAACAAAGGGAAGTGCAGCAAAATCCATTTCTGTACTGTACTTCTATGTTACCACATCCATTATTCCCTGCCCTCATCAACCCGCACTGACCAACGTGGTGAAGTATGGTTAAAAACCCCCATTGCCCGCATGGCGTGGGGCGGCCCGCATCCAGCAGTGGATTGACAAGCGGGCTGTACCTGTACTACGCTGGTGTGTGCTGTACTCTGCTATATGAATGCGCCGTTCCGTGTGTATATTTCCACATTGCGCTACACTTTGTGTATATGCCGAATGCACCGTGCTGCGTGTACTTTACCGTGCGGTGCTATGATGCGCGTGAGCAGTCAAGGACTCTGACGAGCATGCTGTGCCGTCTGAATTGTTTGCCTTGCTGTGCTCCACCCAGTGTACCGCTTGTATGCTGCCTGCCTGTATGCTGCCGTACCGTGTGTTTTGCCGGTAGGTGGGGTGTGATTGTGCGCCGCGTCTCACTTGGCCTCGTTGATGTTTAAAACGCGCCCGTCGGCCGTGATGAGAGTGCGCTTCCTCTTGGGCTGTTTCGTGTCTCCCCTTTTACACAAAACCAAACAGCACAGTGGTTCACTTAGAACGTATGTTTTCGTAGCCGGTACAATAATCTACGCAGTATTTGTTGATGGGTTATGCCACGTCGTCGTGGTTTTATGCCAAAATGATTGTCATTAGCCCTCCACCATCTGGCAAGATTGTCACGTTTACACGGATATTGTTTGTAAGTGCCGATTTTGTTAGTCAAATTCCGACCAATAAAACTCCTCACTGGTGGCTTCAGAATTATCATGACTCAATTTAGCATCAACATACGACAAAGGTTTGCTCAAACTGCTTTGAGATTCAGATACTGAACTAGTGAATTGAATACAATAGTTAACCACGTCATCTAAAATCACAAACGATAGTAAATACCAAAGATGACCAAGGTGTAACTGTTTAAAGGATAAGTCCACCACACACTTCCATTCACCTGATCATGAACAAAAGGTATGTAATGGTGCATTCATTCATCGATTAAAAATAATTATTACGCTCGCTTTAAATGCATGGATTAATGCATGTGCGAATCAATTATTCGTAATGGACACACATAATATGCAAATGATACAATAATGGGACATTGAGGCTCATGAAACAAACACAACTACAAACGAGACTGAAAGAAATCAAACACAATTGCATCACGGCTCAGCCACCTTTGTCTCTCAAGTGGTAATGTTTACACTCCGCAAACCGGTACTCGTTTAGGGTTGAGTCGGCCTAGCTAAACAAGTCCCAGATATGATTTCCCTCTGATATTAGATGTGGCCGGGAATCGAACCCAGGACACCAGGTTCGTACCACAGTGCACTCACTAACCACTACGCCATGCACGCTTTCACACCTGTTCCCCTCCCTGGCTTTGCGGCTTTCCTCCAAGTGCCGGTGTGTTTCCATTCGGGATTCGGGTGTGAACTCCGTCTCTTCTTCCCAGAATCTCTGGTTCGATTCCACACTCCCGTTCGGATCTTGCCTCCGGGTCTCATCATCGTTTTCCTGTCTGCAAGGACAGCATGGAGGAATTAAACAATTAATACCGGTTCCTGAAAGCCATCAACGCCAGGTGCCAAACAATTAACACCGTGTCAAGCGGTCACAATTGTTTATTTATTTATTTCTTGATATCACGCCTCACAAATGTTAAATCGTGAAGCGCCAACATAATTAAGAAGCACAATTGAACAGAGCACTGTACATAGGTAGCACACGTGAAACCTAGAATCGCAACAACCACAAACTCACAACACAGCCATCCTGCAGCTTACAAATTTCAACCTGGACTGGCAGTTCCCACGACCGGCAGTGGCCATGGAGTTTCCGGATCAATTCACATAATCACACACATAACCTTTTTTTCAACAAAGTGTTGCGATCATTGAAGCACACCATTTGCCATGAAGTTAAAACCCTGCCATTCGCAAGAGAGGACAAATTGTGTGGTAGTTTCATACCAGAGTTTCGAAAATTGTAACTTTCAAATAAGAGACGTAGGTTGTGAAACCACCGCAATTTGTTTTATGCGATGTGAACACCATTGCTGGATATGTAAAATCGCGTCTGCAGAAGGCAACAAACACGTTTTGATACAACTCTTCACATAATTTAACGGGTGGCTGTCGTGGACATAGATCCAGCAATCAACTCTGCAAACTGGTTTGGCATTAAGCATACTGACAAGCAAATCATTTACTTGAAGCAGACATTATATTGAATGAAGCAGTGGTGCATTGGTTTTGGCGTGCAACACTCTAAAGCAGGATACCATAGTTTTATTTCCAGCCACGGCTACCATCAGTGGCAGGTGATAGCTGAACCTGTCTGAACTGGCATTGTAAAGGAGTACACATGTCACTACTCAGAATATCTAAAAGCACATTATACGTATCGAATTGTGCATGTAAGAACAGATTAATTAATGTAAATTATATGCAAATGTCACCATTTTGGCTTATGAAACGAAACAAGACAGTTCAAACACAAGACACAACGCAAAAAAAAGACAGTACACATTACCATAAAAAGAAAACATCTTGAATGAGATCGCGACCCTAACAATTGCCGAATCGTTACATGCCCCCACCGAATTAGGACAAATCAGCGAGTGGTGGACGGTGAGTTGTTACACTGCTACGAAGCAGTGCCGTAAATGTGCGACCGCCGTTTGGCTGTGCGGTTGCCATGAACGTGTTTACCCGGCGTAGGAGAGCTTCTGCTGGGCGCGCCGAGCCAGGTACTCGGCTTCTTGCTCGAGCACGCGGCGCCGCGTCCACTCCAACTCCTGGTGCGCCCGGATCCGCTCCGAGCGCTCAATCTCCTGCCCGTCCAGACGCTGCAGCCACACACCAGGACCGGTGAGGGACAGGAGGGGGTCAAAATTGAGGCGGGAAGACGGGAGAGAGCGGAGTTTGGCAAATGGGAAAAGAAAGCAACAGGGAGTGAGGGGATGTAAAATTAGGGATGAGGGCGGTATGGATATGGGTTAGTACAGGCGTAGATGGCCATCAGGGCCATACTTTCACAAGGTTTTTTCTTGCACTGCTCTGCGAGAGATCCGAATACTTTGGTTTCATGGCTTGACGGCGATAGCACAATCGGGATAAATTAGCAAAAAAGCAGGAGAAACTAAAATGGGGACCTTGAGCTGTGGCAGCGTTGCCACCACATAGGGGCGGTAGCCTTCGAAGTCAGCGCAGGGATTTCCCACCAGGAAGAGCTCTTCCAGGAGAGGATTGTGGCGCAACGTCTCCACGCTGCTCAGCTCACCCACAAAGTTCACCGTCAGGTCCAGCTTCTGCAGAGACTCGCACCCTGCCATGATGGCCCCAGCAGGGAGTCAAGAAGGAGAGTGGTAGATGCAAGAGTAGTCAGTGACTACCAGTACTTAAATACTCCCAACACTCAGGAGAGACACCCACCAGAAAGTTACTTTGAGGAATATATTTCTGCATACTCTGATAGAGTCCAGAGGTCATTGGTTTAATTTCCTGGCATGGCAGTTTCTTAACAATGGGGCAAGTTTCTTCGACCTCCCCACTCAGTCCTTCCATAAATATAAATGGGTACACCCCACAGTCACGCATGGTCAGGTAAAATGGTGCAATAAAATGTGGGCACTCCCATCTTTTCCAAGATGTCAGGTCACCGTGGAAGAGTAGGCCCAAACACCCTCGAGTGGGGCTCACTTAGAGTTCCCTCTAGTAAAGGCCCTTCCCCGCCAGCAGTGGTTTGAGGAGGAAATTACAAGGCTGAATCTATACCTTTTCACCTTTATTTTCAAGACAACGATTAAACTCCACCTCTAAAAAACAAACCCCAATGAATTGTCAGAATTTGAGGATGCAATTTTAGCCATGCATAAAATTGTGACCCCAAGTAAAATCAAAGTACAGTAAAACCTTGGATTGCGAGTAACTTGGTCTGCGAGTGTTTTGCAAGACGAACAAAATTTTTAAATAAATATTAATTTGATAAAAGAGCGAAGTCTTGCAATACGAGTAGTACGTATACGCTTTGTCTGCCAAGCGTCACGTGATCACAACTGATATACGAGTGCTTTGATATACGAGTGCTTTGGATTACAAACACGTTTCCGGAACAAATTATGCTCGCAATCCAAGGCTTTATTGTATTTTCAAATCAGCCACAACTTATATTATCATTAAAATAACAAATGTGATTAACTGCAGCAGCAGTTAATCAGATGGACACTGCATTGCGTGCTTTCAGATTCGCTTCTGCGGCCGTCTGGAACGCTCTTCCGATATTAGGAAGCCACTGGAGCTATGCACTTTTAAATCTCGATTGAAAACCCATTTCTTTAAAACTGCTTTTTGTGGTTAGTCCGTTGTCCTTCCCCCGCACCTCCGATTATCACGGTTGGCTACGTATGTGCAAAATAAGTTTAACATACATACATACATACGTCACCCTAAATAGATAATGAATTTCAATGGAGTCTCCGCTGGATAACGGACAGCGGACCGCACTGTGGTGGCCTCTCTCACCCTGCAGGTTCTCAATTCGCTCCACATTGTTGAGAGCCAGGTTGATATACTCCAGCTCCTTGAGCCGGCTCAGGTTTTCTGCATAACACAGCGCAACGCAGCACAGCTCACAACAACTTAACACAAGCGTTGGTTTTAGAATAGTGTCAAGATATACAAAGAGACGTTAATGTTGGCGAGTTGACCAGAGTGCTATGCAATTGTAAATACATTATGTATATCCAGTATATGTACAGCCCTTTGGTCAGTCCACTGCTGGGTGCGGGTTATTTGTCTATACTTCACCACGTTGGTCAAAATGGATTTCGTAAGTCTGGGAGTGTAGATGTTTTGAGCATTGTACTATTACAGCAATTGATCTTGTTATTTGCGAGCTTGTGTTTTAATTTGTGTTTAAGTGTAGAGTGTTGGCGGGAGTGCATAGCGCACTCACTCAAACCCGATGGCGAACATCGGCAGCGAGTGAAATCTAAACCGGTCCTGGGAACTCCATCCCTTTACCAACAAAGCACTGACTTACACGATTCAAACATATGGACAAACAACCTCCACACGACTGACACGGCGTGCGGGGAGGCCTTCACTGTTATTGCCATGTGCTGTGCGCGTGTGTGTCCGTGCCGATGCGCGGGATGACGTTGTTGTGCAGGTAGAGCGTCTTGAGGTGGCGGCACCACACGTCCAGGTGCTGCAGCCGCTCGATCTGCTGCTGGTGCAGGGACAGCTCCTCTAGGGAGAAGAGCTCTCCATTGTTGTGCTCCGCACGGCTTCGCACCAGCGCCTCGGTGACTGCGGCGCAACACAGCAAAGACAAAGTTCACCCTCGTATAGCCTCAACAGACTGTTGGGGAAAAGTGCTGCTTGCCGGCACAGCACACGAGGCGGGGGGGGGGGGCAGCAACCACGCCCGGCCGCCTTTGTCTCCCTAGTGGCGACATGTACATATCGCACCAGGTACTCATTTGAGGCTGAATCGACCTAGGTGTGCTCAGGTGATGCTCAGGACCGCGGTTCATATAATCGTCGCCGGGTTCGTATGGCAGTGCGAACCACTACGCTACCGCTCCCCAGCTTAACACAGCAGCATAGTTGCCACACTCGCAGAACAATGCAATACCAAACTTGTCAATGCCATTTGGATGTGCAGTTATCCCTAAAACTAATCGTGTCCGGATTAGCCAGGCTGAAGATTAACCAGCAAATGGAGAGGAACGTCGGACATTATGCCGTATAACATGCGGTCCAAGCCAACAACACATCAAAGCGCGAAACTCGTTGAGGATCTATCGCAGGGCGGTGGTCGGCCGAACAATCCCACATTTGGCTGAAATCTCTCACTAACCACTTAATGAAGATCCCCGTCATTCGGCTTCCGTGCCTTGTGACGCTAAAGGTGACGGAAAGCGCACCAAAAAAGTCAGCAATTTCCCGAGACAGCGGTGGAAATTCCACATTACTGTGGCGCTGCGGGGTGGTGGTGGTGGTGGGGGGGTCTATCCATGGGATAGCCACCGCTGACTTACCCAAAAAGCGCTACAAGCCCACTCCGCTGCTCACATCACGAGTGTGCCATTCTCGACACAGTCACCTTTGTCCCACCCCACAGCACGAAGGGTGCGCCCCCTTGAGGCTGGGGGAGTCTATGCAAGCGACCCGCGATTGGCAAGCGATTCTGTGTCCCAACTTTTCAACGTGAGACTCAGCTCAATGTAGAAGTCACTGGAATGTATGGTTCTTTTGGTTTCGTAAAATGGGCCGTGCATAAATGACGTCACGCGATTTTGGACGAATTTTGACCCCCCCCTCAAATATGACGTCACAAAGCTCTGCCCCCCCAAAAAATATATATATAAAACATGCTTCAAATCGCTTTAAACTATTGTCATTGTAGTGCGTATTTAATGTGCCGCTGCACTCTGATGTTGAAGGAGAAAACATTTATCACAAAGTCTATTTAATTAAGTAGAACGTGTTGTCTATATTTAAAGTTGCGCATTTTGATGTGACGTCACATTTCTCACCCCCCCCCCAGGTGCGTGACGTCATTTATGGACGGCCCCAAAGGTTTTTTTTTTTAATGGGACAGGTGCAGCCCTCGCTACTGATTTTAGCCGTGGCCTGGAATCCAAACTCAGGTGGCCGGGTTGATTGCACATTTGCGCTGACCTCTGCACCACGGCTCCGCTTGAGTTAGTTAGGCCTTTCAACCTTAGTTGTAAAGCGTTAAAACGTTAAAACGACAACGCGCCTCAGTTGGCCACCAAATTTACAAAGCACTCGGCTTAAACTCCGCGTCAATCGCGAGCGCCGTGTGCATACTCACTGAGGACCATCGTTGAAGGCGTCTTCTTCTAATGCCGATGTAATTTTCGTTGTAGTTTATCGCGGCTGAGATAACGCCCTTTAGAGTTTAATCTTCTTTTTAAAAAACCACAAAGTGTAACCCATGCGGCCTCGCTCCCGCCTCTGTGTAAACATCGCGTTGCCATGGTAGCACGGCAACGCTAGCTACGGGTAGCGCCGCGGCTCGATGTACTTCGCGTTTTTTTTAAAAACGACGCTTTAAACTCTCAGTACTGTAGTCGTTTAATTGGCAGTGAATGTATGATTTTTTTGGGTTTTCACAGAAGACAAAAGTTGTCCAACATAAAGTGAAACCGCTTAAATAGACGACATTGAGGGTATTTGGTTAACATTGGTAATTGGGTGCTTGGGTACAGGATGATCCACATGTCTTGTGACGTCCATTTAATAATAATAAAACATTTATTTTTGTATACGTAATGTAATCTAAGAAACATTAAACAAAAATGTTTGGAGTCAGTTAATTTGGGGTCACAAGACATCTGGACCACCATGTAATATGAAGTAGGGCTATTTCCCGAAACATCGCCTATTAAATTATTTGTTTTCCTTTGAAGGAAGGCCACGCTGTTTTTTTACGATTATTGTTTTAGTTATTTGTCCTCGTACACCGCTACGCAGCAGCATTACCAAATTATTCGATTATGTTCAGGCGCTTAAATGCAAATGTCGAGGTCTGCTGGCGAAAACGAGAGGGCTTCAGGAGAGAGAAGAAGTTTCGTGTCGTTTTGCTGTTCCTCCTCCGTTGAAGGAGCGCAGACCACGGTGGTTTACGATAATGGCCATAGTTGTGGGGTGACATTTGTGGGGTGACATGGCCCACAGTCCCAGGTCCCGTGGCTTCTTGTCTCTAGTTTTTTTCATTACGGGAGAGACGTGCGCATGGACCTTTGAATTTGTCTCATGCGGTTGATGATTCCACCACCAGTGTCTTCAAGGGGGGAGGGATTGGTTTACTATTCGGTCCATAGTTTGGGTTGCACAGCCACAGTCGCACAACCTGCGGCTTTTGGTTTCTTTTTCATTCTCCGCGTATGAAGGAGATGTCGGGCATCCGATGCGGTCGATGGCTAACACCACAGTGTCTCCTGTAGGCGGCCGTCTGGAACGCTTTTCTGGTGTCAGGAAGCCACTGGAGCGATGCCCTTAAAAATCAACAAAGATTCGTTCAACAAAGATTCGTTCACGAATCCATCCATCTATACAGACACAGACACAATTTCAACCGAGACGACGGTTTTAAACTCAGCAATCATTGGAAAGATGTCATCAACCACTTTGGAGTCATGATTTGTGTTTACTTGTCAACCTGTACCGTCAGCAGTGTGGATGGGTGTAGCGAGGTGCAATGCCCCCTGCCCCATCTCTACCCCCCCCCCCCCCTATCTCTACCCCACCCCCTCTCTCTCCCATTGTCTCTGGCCCCTCCCCCCATTGTCTACTCCTGGCTGCCCCGCCCATGCTGTTTGCGGGGCACAAGCTCACTTTGGAACCCGTATAAGCAGCTTCATTTGGAGGCTTATTTGGAGGCTTGCCCCTCCCCCCTCCTCTTTTCTCTCCGCCTGATGACGACCGCTTGTGTTGCGATCGAAACGTCGTGGGTTTTTTTGTTTTTATTACTTTCATACTCTTTGGTTCTTTCCGTAAAGTAACGTAGCTAGAAAAATAATAGATCACGACGCATCGATCGTGACACAAGCGGTCTTCATCAGGTGGGACAACCACAGCAAGAGAAAAACTGGTGAAGTAGGCTTGCTGTGGTTGTCCCACCTGAGGACGATTGCTTGTGTTGCGATCGAAACGTCGTGATCTATTATTATTCTTCCTACGTGACTTTACCGAAATAACCAAAGAGTATGAATTCCTGCAGTCACGAAAGCTTAAAATCAAGATTTATTACTTCAAATTTATTATTTTATTTATTTTTTATTGTATTTTATCATTTTTATTAGATTTTTTATATATATTAGATTGTTTTTTTCTTTTTACGTGACTTTACCGAAAGAACCAAGAATATAGCCCTTTAAAATCGTCTTTTCGAAAGAAATGCGTTTTGTGTTCAGTTTTGTTGTCTTTACCCCGCAAACTCCGTTTAGCACGGTGGGGTTAGAAATAATTGCGTTCTATTTGTTAAGCGTTTTGTTTACCTTTCCTAAAACTATTCACTCCTACGATGGCTTTTGTATTTTATATATAACGCTTTGACCCGCCCCTGCTGGACATCCGTGGGAAAAAAGAGCTTGACAGATCATCGGATTCCTCCAGTATAAATAAATAGATTGTGAGAACGCGTTTCATGAACATCGCGGGCTTCCGTCGTCCCGCACCTCGCTCGTGACGTCACGGCCTGCACCCTCCTCGAGCAGCCATGGCGGAGTCAGAGTAAGTGGCCGCTTCATGCGGACAATCATTGCCCTCCCCTTCTTACAATCTATCGCCATCCTTCACGAACATCGATCATACAACGTCGATTAACCTGCGCTGTAATTAAATACCACGTCGATTAATATATTTATCGGGTTATGGAGGGGTTTTTTTCGTGTACTTAAATGTCTTAAACACGGGCGTCCGGTTGCGTGCTCGGCGGTTACTGTACGCGGACGGGCCCGTTTTTGTCCGCCACAACCGTGCCGAGTCCATGGGGTGGGTTGTTTGTGTTTGACCATACTTCACGACGCCGTGCGGGTGTAATAGAAGGCGTTGGAGAGCATAGACGTGGTTTCGTAGACGTGCGGGACAACAGTGGCTGGCTATAGTTTACTGCACCTCTCGGTGAAGCGATGCAACTTTTGCTCACGCGGGATCTTCCACGCTCGCGACACGTGTTAAAAACCCGGCCTTTTAACGACGTCGTGGTGTGGTTATCGAGGAGATATATTGCAGGGGGTCGGTAACCAGCGTTCCGGAGCCGTATTTCTTAAGGGGCCATCGTCTCGTATTCACCACGGTGCATTGCAGGTCTTGAAATATTGAGTTTTTACCGAATTTGAAAAAAATTGGTGTTATTTTACTCATTGGTTTTTTTCGGTAAAGTCACGTATGTGACTTATCAAGTCACGTATGTGACTTTACCTAAAAAAAAACAATGAGTAATTTATGCAGTCACGAAAGCTTTAATTCTTGTTATTTTGGCTGCCGGACCCCTGAGATAGTGATACTCCAAATATTGCATTTCCCGTTGTCTGTGCGGAGTTTTGGGAGTGATCCCTTCGCATTCGTGGTGGGTATTCCACTGGAGACGAACGCTCATCATAAGTAGTGGAATTGCCGGTGCATCCCAATGCAGAGCTTCGGCGATGAGGCTGCCCTAGGTGTGTGGTGCAAGGCGAGCAGGCCTGTACACTTTGTTGTGCTTTGTTGTTCGCGCAAGTAACTGTAGGAATTTTGATTTAAAGCTTTCGTGACTGCAGGGATTCATCTTCTTGGTTCTTTCGGTAAAGTCACGTAGAATGTAAATAAAATGATAAAATAAAACTTAATCAAATAAAATTCTCACGACGTTTCGGCCACAACACAAGTAGCCTTCTTCAGGTGAAGGAACAGAACTGTCGGGACGACAGCGCTTCAATGACCACCGCTAAGCTTGACAGCGTCTTTTAAGCTGGGTGGGAGGAGCAGAGCGCCTTGACAAATGAGTTTACATATCAACAGAATAACTTAGCATTGAAGTATCTATGTTAATGTGTTGCGTTAGCAGGGTGTTAAAGTAATAAATTACCATGTAACTGGGAGATTAGCATGATGTTAGTGTGAGGGATTAGCATGTAACTGTCACGGAAGTAGCTATGTTAAAGTCAAGAGTTTACATATCAACAGAGGCATTTATTATATTGACGCTAAAGAACTGCAACTACCCAACTATCATACAATAAGCCGATGTGAAAGAACTAAGTATAAACTACATCAATATAATAAATACACTCAATATATTCTTCAATAAGTTGAGCTATTAACATAAAGTAACTGGGTATACACTACACTATATAATGAATACCATATAGTAAACTGAGAAAAAAACTAAAATATAAACTACTTCAATGTTTACATTATGAGACCTCCTTTGCCAGTAACAAGATATAGGAATAGGTTTTACCCTTTTAACTGGCACAAAAACTGACACCTTTATTCAAGGCATCATGTTTGCAATAACCACAACACAAGCAGTCAAAATGCAAACAAAAAAGACAACTCTGATAATAATATGCACTGTCCTTGAATTTGATTGGTCCACACCCGAGACGACTAGGCTCTAAGAAAAGCCGTCTCGGGTGTGGACCAATCAAATTCAAGGACAGTGCATATTATTATTATCAGAGTTGTCTTTTTTGTTTGAATTTTGACTGCTTGTGTTGTGGTTATTGCAAACATGATGCCTTGAATAAAGGTGTCAGTTTTTGTGCCAGTTAAAAGGGTAAAACCTATTCCTACTTCAATGTTATCAATAAACTCAATATAATCTCAAATCAGCTGAGCTACTAACAAGTTGTTATACATTACAATTCTATGAACATGTGTTTCTGATTTGTGCAGAGAAGTGAAGAGGCTGCCCAAAGTACCTGAGAACCTGCTGAAGAAGCGGAAAGCTTACCAGGCCATCAAGGAAACACAGAAGAAGCGCAATTTACAACAGAGGAAGGTAAACTTCAGCAACAGCCTTGACTATTAATGATATTTAACATTACGATTATTATGCTGTGATTTTTATCCGAAGGGTGCTCCACTGAGTCTCAATACCTTACAGAAGGATCCAGCTGGGAATACTTACGAATCAGTAACCGGTTTGCTGTGCCGTCCTGTACTGAAAAAAGTGTAGCCTTTAATGTGGGTGTCTATACATAATGTGTGTAATCCACCGACCCAGTCTCCAAAGCGCAGCATTTACAGCTCGGTTCGACTTAAAAGAATTAATTTGAGGTTATGAAATTGGCACCCAATGACCCAGTGACTTAACTTTAATGTTAGTGGCCACTGTTAACATCGGTGGCGAGTGATATCTGAACCGGTCATGGGTTGTGCCCAACCTTCGCCAACGCACACTGGCGAACATGGTGAAGTGTGTGGCCAACCGGCCACCCACGACCATCGGTGGCATGGGGAGGCTTTCATTCAGCACTCGATTGATACAGGTGTAAATGGCGACTTGGACG